GGTATCTCATGTATGCAAGCACGACCACACAACCCTAGATTGCTCATGCAGTGTCACAGCTGTCCAAGGTGGTGTCTTGTCCCAAGGCATTTCACTTGCAGGCTGCGAAGAGAGTGCTAAGGTACCTGAAAGGTTGTGTCAAGTCAGGTATCTTCTACCCCGCACACAACAAGCCTCAGGTTGAGTTGGTGGGCTTTAGTGATGCTGATTATGCTGGAGATTCAGCTGATCGCAAGAGTCACACCGGCTATGTCTATTGCCTTAATGGTGCAGCCATCTCTTGGCAGGGAAAGAGGCAGCCGGTGTTTGCATTGTCCACCACTGAGAGTGAGTACATCAGTCTGTGTCAGTGCATTCAAGAGGGTGTGTGGCTGAAGCGTTTGTTTGGGGAGTTTGGGCATGAGTTTGCTGGTGGTGTGCCTGTGTTTGTGGACAACCAGTCTGCCATTGCCCTTGCACAGAATGCATGCTTGTATGGCCGCACCAAGCACATGCAGGTTCGGTGGCATTTCATCAGGGAGATGGTGGCGTGCGGCGAGGTGATCCTCCGGTGGTGCCCCACCAACCGTCAAGCAGCAGATATACTCACCAAACCCCTCCCTTTTGAGCGGCATGGTGTGTGCATGTCCTTGATGGGGATGCAGCCCCATGTCAGCATGGTGCCTGAGCAGGATGTGGGAGGACTGGTGCTTCTCTGCCTTGACGACCTCATGCTGTGGATGGCGCCCCTCCCTGGGCAAGGGGGAGTGAAGCGAAGGATTTTGCCCAGTGGTGTTCAGCCACCTCCAGCACGAGCAAGGGGGAGTGTTGATTGTGTAGGTGGTTGTGGTATTTTGCTCTAGCTGGTTATGGGCTAAGGGTTTGGGCAAAATGTGGTGGTTAGACTTGTTGCGGGCTGGAATTGATCTCGCACCCAACAAGCACCAACAAACCTTTGCTATTCACTACAACACCTTTGGTGTTGCTAGTTTAGCACTTTGGGTTGTTGGGGATTGTTGTAGGGCGAGGGTTGGGTTGGTAGGGTTTGACCAACTCATCACTTTTCAGATCTGAACTCTTCCCAAAGCTACTCTCTTGATTTAATCCATGGCTGCCTATTGATTCCGCCAGAATACCCCGTCGCACTTAAATCGCGAAAACGATCGGCCTAGATCTTGGTTGAAGGCGTGCGTTACTATTCTGGAAAGTAGAGATTAAGACCTTTCCAACGCGTAACTGCTCATAGTTCAAGGTTACGTGAGCTGCAGACAATGTTCCGTCGAAGTCGGCGGACTTAATCTCTTGTTACGCTCTCCAGATTTGCTCGCTTTTCATCAGAACCTAGAGCACACTCACCCCCGACGGACGGAGGACAGACAGACTCAGACTCAGCAACAAGACTCGCGGCGTAGTCTAGACGACAGCGAGCAGCAAAGTCGACAAGCTCAGCAACTAGGGCAGACGCAGCAGCAGACTCAAAGGAAGGGTCAGTGACAGCAGTGGCCAGGAGACGCGTGACAGTAGGACTGGCAGCACGAAGAGAGTCAGACTCCGGGTCAGCAAGAGCAAGAAGAGAGGACGCAGGAGGAGACGGCAGAGGGACACGCTGTGGAGCAGTGGAAGGACGCAGAGTCATATAGTGTGTGCCAGGGACAGGTGGAGGACGCTCACGCGGAACACGGCGACTAGTGCGAGCAGCACGAACAGGTGACACAGGACGAGACACAGGCGACACAGGACGAGACTCAGGCTCACGACGCTCTGTAAGACCGCCTGTCGGACCAGTGTAGGGAGAAGGACCAGGAAGTGGCGAGACAGGCGGTAGCTGTGACGGCGACTGGACAGGGGGAGGACACTCTAAGGAGGGAGGAAGACTAGGAGGAGGCGGCTGACCAAGAACCTGCTGAAGGAGCGGAACGAAGTACGGCCGCGGCCGTGAAGTGCCCCCAGAAGCAGCAGAGACAGCACCAGAACCTCCAGCCGAACCAGCACCAGCAGCACCTCCAGCAGCTCCAGAACCTTCAGCAGCACCAGCAGCACCTCCAGCAGCTCCAGCACCTCCAGCAGCACCAGCAGCACCTCCAGTAGCACCAGCACCAGCAGCACCTCCAGCAGCTCCAGGACCTCCAGTAGCAACAGGGCCTCCAGCGGGCGGTACCTCAACACCAGGAGCTCCACTCCGGAGGCTGCAGCGCCGAGCGTACCACTCACGTAGCCGCTGAGGGGAGGGAGGCTCCGGCTGCGATACTACACCCGCAGGGCCACCAGCCCCAACTCCAGCAGACCCCCCAGCTCCAGTAGCCCCACGATGGAGGCTGTAACGCTGGGAGTACCACTCACGCAGCTGCTGTGAAGAGGGAGCGCCAACAGGCGCAGTATGGTCAGTCTCAGAACCCCCAGCCTCAGCTCCCCTAGGCTCAGCACCCCCAGTCGCAGCACCCCCACGCTCAGCACCCGCAGTCTCCGCACCCCCAGGCTCAGTACCCCCAGTCTCCGCACCCCCAGGCTCAGCACCCCCAGTCTCAGTACCCCCAGACCCAGCACCACCAGGCTCAGCACGCTCAGCACCTCGCGCAGGACCAGAGTCAACAGCTACCTCGACAGGCTCGACCGGGTCTACCTGGGAAACACCTGAGGGAGCAGCACCCTGGGGAGGGAGGGGGTCTACCGACGGGACACCTGGGGTGAGGAAGAGCGGCGGGGGGGGAGCGGGGCAGTGCGGTAGGGGAAGAGACGGTAAAAGGGTACCGACTCGTCAAAGGTGACGTCCTGAGAGGCGAAGACACGGCGCGAGGTGGGGTGGTAAAACTGCCAGCCAGGCGCGTCAGGGGGGAAGCCAAGGAAGACGCAGGGAACGGCACGGGAGGAGAGCTTGTCCGCTGACGTATCGCGGACAAAGGCTCGACATCCCCAGACTCGGAACACCGACGCATCGCCAACCTCCCCCGTCCAACGCAGGGTAGGCGAGGTCTCCGGAACAGAGACACGGGGCCAGAGGTTGAGCTGATGTGCGGCGTACTGTACTGCAAACGGCCACAGGAAATGGGGGGCAGCCGCATGGATCATGGAGGTACGAGCGACCTCCATGACGAGAACAATGCGGCCCTCAGCAACCCCATTCTGCTGCGGAGAGGCCGGGAGAGTGAACGTCTGGCGGATGCCGTGCTCCGCACAGTAGGCTGCCAAGAGGTCAGAGCAAAACTTGCCACCTCTGTCAGAGTGCAGACGTAGGACAGAAAAGTCCGACTGGAACCGCTCGCGGAGCTGGAGACGAGCAGCGCGGATCCAGGGGATCAAGACATCAGGGACCTCACCCTTGGTACGCAAGGGGAAGACCGTGGTGTAGCGCGTGTAGTCGTCGACGACCAGCAGAAAGTACCGCTCGTGGCCCTGTCCCCGGACGCGGGCGGGGCCCCACACGTCCAGGTGGAGAGTCTGCAGGGGAGCCACTGTGGGAGGGAACGAGGAAGAGTGAGGAGCGGCGCGCTGCCGCCCCTCGACACAGGGAAGACAGGGAGGAGCAGGCGAGGGTGGGAGGGGAGGGAAAACCCTGGGAAGACCAGAGACAAGGTACCTGGAGTGCATGCCGCGAAGGCGCTGCGAAACTGTCCGCGAACCAGTTCTGACGTTGCATTCCAGATCTGGTTATTTTCGCGAAATTTTCTTCCTTTGCGACCCCAGACCACCAATTTCGACACCAACCTGGCTCGCGAGCCAGTCACCTTTCTCTCCCCTTTCAACCTTCCTAACTTAGGAACTCTTGGACCTCCGGTTTTAACTGTCGTGCACGACACAGGCTTCGACCTAGAAATCCAAGCCAAAACCCCACCTCCCGGCATCCGCCAGATCCACATTTTTCTGATGTCCACACTTCGCACATCCGCGCGCCACTTGCGCTCCGCCCTCACCACCACCGCCGCCGCATTCGCCGCCCGCCCCGCACTCCCCCGCGCGCCGTGCATCGCCGCCTCTCTCGAGTCCGCCGCGTCGCGGTCGCGCGCCCCCCAAAACCCCGCACGGTCCTTCTCCCTTGCGCCCCCTTCTCACGCGTCGCCGCCACTGCCAGCATCGCCAGCAGCATCAGACCTCCGCGCTCGCTTCCAACTCGCGTCATGCGCGCCTCGCTTTTCGATCTTGACGCAAGGCGCGCCGAGCGTTGATCGGATCGCAGGCGGCGCGGGCAGATCAGCCCCGCATGCCTCTCAACCGTCGATTTCCAGATCATCCTCGCCACGACGCTTCGACACGTTTTCGTTCCAGAGACACCGATTAAGCACCCTCGTCGCCCTCCCGCGTGCGCTCTCCGTCGAGCCCGTTCCCTCCGCCGCCTCCGCCGCACCGTCGCTGCGCGCGGCGCACGCCGTAGTGGTTGCGGCGCGGACGACGGGCGCGGGGCAGGCAAGGATTGTGTTCGTGGAGGTGAATAAAAGCGACGTTGATCGAGCCATTAAAAAGTGAGTGATGCACGGGGGAAAGGGAAGAGAGTGAGGCATGAAGAAGTGAGGAATGGGTGTGCGGGGAAAGCGCGGAGCATGGTCGTGGAGGTGAAGCGATGTGGATCGAGCTATCAAGAAGTGAGTGATGGGGAGCGAGGGGGAGCGTGGAGAGAGGAAAGGGGCAAGGAGGATGAGGCATGAAGAGATGAGCAATGGGGTAGCAGGTAGAGGAGCGAGGAGCGTTTTCGTAGAGGTGAGGACGGCTGACGTGGATCGAGCCATCAACAAGTGCGTGATTCTGGGGGCCACCGAAAGAGGGGCAAGAGGAGTGAGCGATCAAGAAGTGAGCGATGGGGGAGAGGGAAGAGGATGAGGCGTGAATGAATGAGCCATGTGGAAGCAAGGAGAGGGGAAAGAGGGGTGTTTCACGGAAAAACAGGCATCGGCTTGTTTGCCCGTGCATGCTCTCACGCACCCTTGCTCTCTTGCAAGCAAGCAGCCCCGTGTGCCATCGGGTTGAAGCTCACTCCGCCAAGGCCCCTCCATCTTCCCCCTCCCTCCCGTCACAGGTTCACAAATAAAGCCATGTGCAGACAAGGCCATCAGGTTGACGCTCAGCCCGTCATTTCCGCTTGCCGCCTCGTCTCACTCCTCTCCCGCCCCGCCCCCCCTTCCCCTTGCTGGTTCCGATGCCTGGAAGGGGACAATGCAATGTGCGTAGCCAGGGGACAACGCCTCCGCTTCTCCTTTTCCCCGTTGCCACTCCCCCTTCCCCCCCACCCTTTCCAGGTTCAAGCTAAATCCGAAAGACACAACGCCAAACGCGTGGCTAGGGCGAGGGCAACAACACTCTCATAATCTCATTCCCTTGTCCTCCCCCCTCCCCTCCCCTCCCACACATACAGGTTCAATTCAAGGTCAAGCTGCGCACAGACAAGACAACACCATCCGCGTGGCGAGGGCACCACTCTCATAATTTTGATCCTTGTTCCCCCCCCACCCATCCCCTACCCCCGACACTGCTTCAAGGTCAAGCTGCGCACAGACAAGACAGCACCATCCGCGTGGCGAGGGCGAGGCAGAAACCTCCCCTTCCTCGCCTTGTTGCCGGACCTCCGCCCTCCTACTCGTCCCTTCCCCCCCTCTCGCAGGTTCAAGATCAAGCTGCGCACAGACAACGCCATCCGCGTGGTGAGGGCAAGGGCAGCACTCTCATCCCCTTGTTCCCTCCCCTCCGGGCTCCCCCCTCCGCAGGTTCAAGATCAAGCTACGCACGAACAACGCTATAAGGGTGGCACGAGCAAGGTCGCACTACTGGAAGGGCGCGGAGCTGAAGCGGCTGAGGGCCAAGGAGGCTGCCATCAAGCCCTTGCTGCTCCCTTCCCCCCACTCCAACCCCTCCCTTCTCCTCCTTACAGGTTCAAAATCAAGCTACGCTCGGACAACGCTATCCGCGTGGCGCGGGCTCGGTCGCACTACTGGAAGGGCGCGGAGGTGAAGTGGCTGAGGGCCAAGGAGGCGGAGATCAGGCGGCAGCAGAGAGACTTTCGGCAGAAGCTTGCTTGGATCATGGCCAAACGCGCCAGGTGGGGTGGGGTGCTGGGGGGGAGTATGGTGGGTGGGTTGGTGGTGGGGAGGGGATTGAGCGCTGAGCAGGGGTAAGGACCGTGGGTCCAGGTGGGATGGTCAGGCGGCAACAGAGAGACTTCCGGCAGAAGCTCGCCTGGATCATGGCCAAACGCGCTAGGTCGGTGGAATGGTGGCGTGGTGGCATGGTGGGGTGCCGGGGAGAGGGGATTGAGCACTGAGCATGGGTTTGGACCATGGCTACAGGTGGGATGAGCAGGCGGCAGCAGAGAGAATCCCGGCAGAAGCTCGCGTGGATCATGGCCAAACGCGCCAGGTGGGTGGGATGAGCATGGGCATAGACCATGTCTTGAGGTGGCATGAGCATGGGTATAGACCATATCTCGAGGTTGCATGAGCATGGGTATAGACCATGTCTCGAGGTGGCATGAGCATGGGTAAGGGCCACGGGTCGAGGTAGGGCAGGCAGGGTACTGGGGATGGTCAGGCGGCGGCAGAGGGAATTCCGACAGAAGCTCGCGTGGGCAAACACATGTATAAAGTTGTTTTTTTGAGACGTCTCAAAAATTCACTTCATACATCGTGCTGTGGGCAAACACGTTAGTGGGATGAGATGTGATGCTAGGTGGGTGGGATCTTGGCCAGGCGTTCCAGGTATGGTGGGATGAGAGATGGGGGTGATGGGTGGGATGGGCAAGCGTGCAGGTGGGGTAGGGTGCTAGAGAGAGAGTGCAGCAGTGAGCATGGATGCATGGGGAAGGAGGGCCATGGCTCCTGGTTGGTGGCATGATGGGCTTATGCCTAATGGAGTGGTACGGGCAAGAGCTCCAGGTATAGGCAAGAGCTCCAGGTATGGGCAAGAGCTCCAGGTATAGGCAAGAGCTCCAGGTATGGGCAAGAGCTCCAGGTATGGGCAAGAGCTCCAGGTATGGGCAAGAGCTCCAGGTATGGGCAAGAGCTCCAGGTATGGGCAAGAGCTCCAGGTATGGGCAAGAGCTCCAGATATGGGCAAGAGCTCCAGGTACGGGCAAGAGCTGCAGGTATGGGCAAGAGCTGCAGGTATGGGCAAGAGCTGCAGGTATGGGCAAGAGCTGCAGGTATGGGCAAGAGCTGCAGGTATGGGCAAGCGATTGGGATGATGGGACGTGGGGTGATGCGTGGGATGGGAAAGCTGTGCACATGGGATGTGGGGCGATGCATGATGGGCGAGCTGTGCACATGGGATGTGGGGCGATGCATGATGGGCGAGCTGTGCACATGGGATGCGGGGCGATGCATGATGGGCGAGCTGTGCACATGGGATGCGGGGCGATGCATGATGGGCGAACTGTGCACATGGGATGCGGGGCGATGCATGATGGGCGAGCTGTGCACTTGGGATGCGGGGCGATGCATGATGGGCGAGCTGTGCACATGGGATGTGGGGCGATGCATGATGGGCGAGCTGTGCACATGGGATGCGGGGCGATGCATGATGGGCGAGCTGTGCACATGGGATGTGGGGCGATGCATGATGGGCGAGCTGTGCACATGGGATGCGGGGCGATGCATGATGGGCGAGCTGTGCACTTGGGATGCGGGGCGATGCATGATGGGCGAGCTGTGCACATGGGATGCGGGGCGATGCATGATGGGCGGGCTGTGCACATGGGATGTGGGGCGATGCATGATGGGCGAGCTGTGCACTTGGGATGCGGGGCGATGCATGATGGGCGAGCTGTGCACATGGGATGCGGGGCGATGCATGATGGGCGAGCTGTGCACATGGGATGCGGGGCGATGCATGATGGGCGAGCTGTGCACATGGGATGTGGGGCGACGGGGAGAGAAGGTATCTTTGACCTTATATAGAGAGGGCCTGTCTTTGCTATCTGGATTAGTGTTTCTTCTATCAGGAAAATCGTGCTTTGTACTGAAGCACACAACTTGATCACATCAGCTCGGTCTGTCACTTAACCTCCAAATGACTCGTGACTCATCCTTCATTCTGCTTCAACGTTTGCCTCTCCAGTTTTCGGCGCGACCCGAATGAGCTTTGTCTCATACAACCCCATTTGCCTTGCATTCCAACACCTCTTTATCTTCCTTGAACCTTCTTATGGTGCTGTGCAGGGGATTCTGATGCAAAGGTCATAAAATGTCTTGCACTGCCCTAAACTTCTGGCCACGGTATCTGCTCAAAGGCACAAAACGTCTAGGAGTCTAGAAATCCTACCCAACTGGTTGATGAAAATGAATTTATCTTCCGCCCTGACCAATTGAGAAAGGCTCAAAGATCACATTCACGGCAGCACAGATTAGACCGTTACCATCAGATTGGTTTTGGTTTTTGTTATGGGCCTGGACGATTCGTCAGTGCCATTACCGCCTAGCCCAAAGAGATCTACCTAGCGACAGGAAAGTGGGTCATGTCATATCACGTGTGTCTCTCTTAGGGTTTGAAATGTCTGTAAATGTTTGGTGCCTCTCATCACCTCATTCAGGGGTAATTGAAGCCACAGTATGGCCTGATTTTGTCAATGGAGTGTGGCATTTGCATAGTGGTGCATACTTAGTGTAACAACTCAGGTGTCGAACTACCACCACCCCCCTTATGGAGATTCCTTATGTATTAAATTTCTCCGTGTAAGATGATCAGCTAACGCACAAGCACGGTGCATAGACTGCAGATAACCATATGTTACCGGAGTGCCCAGCTAGCTAGAGGTAATCATGCTACCATATGTCACATGCCGTAGCTGAAAGGTTTGTAGGCATTGTATCATAAGTGAAACCTCAACTGTACGGATAATTCACTTGGAACGGAGCCGAGTATCCTCAATCAGCAGGCGCATGAATCTTCTCCGTCTCTTCACAATCCTCACGGCATCCGTGGCGGTCGCAATCCCCATCTCGTCATTTGTGAACGCCAGCACAGGCCCAAAGAGGCAAAACAACAGGAAGCAAAGCAACATGATGAGTGAAATACCAGAAACATGAACTGACGGAAACAGGATATAAGCAGCAGCATTGTACACTCGGCACTGTGCACTGTACAACATACCCAGCTCATGAATGGCGAGTCGGTTCACAATGCTGTTCCGCAGCAGCGCCTGGATCAGCGCCAGCAGCGAGTCCACCACACCCAGCTGCACCGCACCCAATCGCTCCGCCAGCAATGTAGCTACAGACACCCGTGCCCACCCCTCCCTGCGCGCCACGTCCTCCCCCACGCTTGGCGGAATAATAGGCTCGGGGAGGGCTAAGAGGAAAGACACAAGTGCACGAGCCATGGTGAGGGGGGGGGTTTCGGTGGGGAACGGTGTGCCAGTGTCAAGTGCGAGACGGATGGGTGCAATTTGCAGCTCCTGAGCTACTGCACCCAGTGCTGCTGCCTTGGCCGCTAGGAACTGTGTCGACTCTGCCCCTTCCGCTTCCCCTGTCCCTGCTCCTGCTCCACCTCCCCCTCCTCCTGCTGTGAGGTCTGCTGCGGCTGCTCCCACTGCCCCTGCTGCAGCACCCACGGCGCCTGCAGCAGCAGCAACGAAAGCTAGAGCAGCAGCGGTAGACAGCCCTGCCACTCCGCCTTGACTCAAAGTGCGAGACAGCTGCGGAAGCACACCACCTGCACCAGCCCCAGCGCTGCTGCTGCTCCTGGCGAAGCTGCTGCTACTGCTGCCGGGGCTGCTGCTGCTGATGCTGCTACTGGGGTTGCTGTTGAAGCTGCTTTCGGGAGTGGTGGAGAGGGAACTAACCGCAGCAGACAGCACATCGGATGACAGACTCGCGCTGCGCGTGTGCGAGAGTGAGTGAGGGTGCTCGTGCGCGGTGGACTGCGAGGAGGGGAAGTGGGGCGCACGAGTGCTGTCTTCCTGGTCGAGAGAAAGGTCGATGCCGAGAGTGATGGGGTCAAAGGCGGATGAGATGTCCTGGCCGGAGTCCAGCAGAAAGGTGAGCATGCGCGCCACCTCCTTGGGCACCTCAAATGCGTCTGATGCATGGGATGGGTTTCCTGCTGCTCCTGCTGCTGCTCGTGCCGCTGCTCCTAATGGCCGATCTTCCTCCCCGGCTGCAGCAGCGGAGTCATTGTCATTGTCAGGGTCGGTTTCGGATGCTTCTGGGATGCTGCCAGCCGCAGCGGCAGCAGGTGTAGGTCGGGTGTGGCGGAGGGAAGATCGCTGGCGTGTGGCGATGGCGTCGAGAGAGAGCGAGCGGATGGGGTCCTTCAGACCTGCCAGTGCCTCCAGACTAGGGGGTCGGGAGCGGGGCGAGCAAAACTGTCAGAATGACCTAGCAGGAATGAATGAACTATGAGGAAGTTTGGGAAACCCTAACATTGGGTTTAAATGTTCTCCCCCCTTATGGAGATTCCTTATGTATTAAATTTCTCCGTGTAAGATGATCAGCTAACGCACAAGCACGGTGCATAGACTGCAGATAACCATATGTTACCGGAGTGCCCAGCTAGCTAGAGGTAATCATGCTACCATATGTCACATGCCGTAGCTGAAAGGTTTGTAGGCATTGTATCATAAGTGAAACCTCAAATGTACGGATAATTCATGCTGCTGCTTATATCCTGTTTCCCAAGTCAGTTTCATTGGTGAAACCTTGGGAATGAGGCCTGCTGTTTCCCGACTTGGGAGAGAGGCCTCATTCTCCTCCACTTATCCTGTCACCCAGTCCTCCAAGCACGAGCCCCATGCCCGAAGTACTGCACAAGTAGCGAAGTACTCTCTTAGCAGCATCCATGTGCACCTTTCCGTGCCTACCAGGAGCCACGTAGCGAGCCAGAAGGCCAAGAGGGTACGCAAGGTCAGGCCGAGTGCAGGTCATCAGTTACATGAGGCAGCCCACTAGCTCTGTGTACGGACCACTCGGCTCTACGGACTCGTCCGAGGGTGGAGCTGAGAGCGAGTGACCTGTAGCCAGAGGAGTGGACTGTGGCGAGGACCAGGTGAAGCCGAAGTGCTGAAGGACCTACTGCAACATGTGTGACTGAGTCAGTGTGATGGTGCGGCGTGCTCTGTCCCGGGTGATCTGCAAGCCAAGGTAACTGCGCAGCTCACCCAGGTCTGTGCACGTGTGTCTCTTCG